CGGTCCGACTCTGGAAATTATCATGTATATTATGGACTCCGAACAAGGTGCGTTCCTCTAGGTCTTCCTGCTAGTATGACCAGTTTGCGAAAGCAAGGTCAAACAACTTTCCCAAAGTTGTAGTTGTTTACTCGAGCTGACTACACTTACTGAGAATGTCTTCGCTTCATTTCCAAACCTTCCTCACCCTCTTTTTCCTTGCGATCGCTTTTCCTCTGGTTTGCTATAGATCCGTTATTCAGGCACATTGTTCCAGCTTCAATCAGCTGCTAGCAAAACAATAATTTTCATTTAATAAAATCTTTTTCTCAATCCCCCATTTTCATCGTGGATCTTATTTTAAATTTAGTTTTATCATTGTCAAGATACTGATGCGGTAATCGACGATCCCGTTAGATTTTGCTTAAATATAATGTGCGGCGTATATCTTAGTTAAAAGTATCTTTTCTTGCAGATCCGAGTGTGTTGGATTTCATGTATATATTATCAGCGTTCTTTCTTACAATTTTTGTACATTTTTCTGTCCCTCATTGCTAATATATACTTATTTATTTTCAAGTCTCATTTGAGCGACTCAAATGCTCTATTTCTGATTATTCAGCTTGATCGGTTCCGTCTACCCACACTTAAGCCACCACCTTGGTCAAATAAGGCTGGTAGCCTTGTGGTTGCCAAGCCTGTTACTCGGCTTCAGCAGGCAGCTGCAGCTGCAGCTTTTCTTCCTGATACCATTTCACAAAACACCAGCGGCGCCAGCACCAACATCGCAGCCAACTACCCAAGCACTTGCTACGCAACAACTGGAGTAATTGGAAGCCCTTCAGTTGGCTCTTTCCTAAAATGTGGGGTGATCACTTCCACTTCCTTGTTCACTAATGCATTTCCTGGGGCCAAAGAGACTGGAGAGCCGCCGATCAGATCAATTCGGCTTAGTCCCTTAGGGTATAAGACATTAAAATCCTATTTAAATGACTACTTATTATCACCTTTCTTATTACTTACTAATTATTTGATAATGGAGGGATGAATTATTAACGTTTA